TTATTTTTATATGTTCACTTTTGTAGATCAGAGATAAAAACTGATGGCTTATGATGATGTTTTGAAATGTCGATTGACAAAGCTTTATGATGGATCGAGCTAACAAATCACTGAGTTTTACACAATCAGAGGAAGTGCATATGAATAATTATTCCTTATATAGTTGTTGTGCATGATAATACATAAGGTGTGTTTCTATATATATTTATGTTTATAAAGTATGAGAGAGATTGAGATGGATTATGTAGACCTTCAAAAAGAATCTATCGACGACAAGGGTGTTGAAGCGATGTTGATAGAAGGCACAAAAACTCACTGTGTTTTATACAACGAAAGGCCTGTAGCAATATATGGGCATTCTACTAGTCAAATCTAAGACTTAAAATCTGCTGGGCAGGAGATAACACTGTCCATTTAACCATCGGACCAACGATATGTGAATGTCGTGTACGTGAAACATATGGCTTGGCCCATGTGCTTCGCCTCTGTAGGCGAGCGCGACCTACAATCCGCAGCAAGCGAGTTATAGGAGCAGTGCCCCAAAAATTGCACATGTAGTGAACTGATCGAAAGCCCAAAACAAACCGAAGTGGAGTTTTTCAGTCCGGGCTCAAATGAGTTCGGGTGAGCAGTAAACTAAAAAAAATCTTAATTTTTTTTGACAAACATTCTAAGAGCTTGAATTTTTTCACTATGGAATCACATTCCTGAAATGCGTGACGAAGAAAACAAAATTGATACTCTGAAAATGCTACTTTCGAAAGCATTTTGGAGCACTGATTTTGTTTTTCTGCCATGACTTCCACAAATGTGATTCCAAGATAAATTTTGCAAGCTCTTAGAATTTTGTCAATGTTTGTCACAAAAAATATTCAGATTTTTTTATTTTGTTTTGATTTTACTGTTCACCCGAGCTCATTTGAGCTCGGGCTGAGAAGGTGACTTTCCAAAACAAACATGTTGTTTACAGGAGGGCGACGAATGAAACATGGGTGTGGGTGCAACCGTG